ACCCTTTCATTTATCCAAATCATTATAAATCTATAACAATGCCAATTTATATGTAAATTTTAAAAAAACAAAACATGACATTAGTGTAGGTAAGCTAATTCATCCTAGTGCAGTTTTCGCCCTATAGCATCGTGCTACCATATCACTGAACCCAGACACCTATTAGAGCATCCTAAACGGAAGGATCTCCCTCAGAGGCCTACGTCGTTCCTTCTTTTCGGCTAAGGCTTTTACCTTCAGGCTTTAGGGATTTTGGGTAGGGGCACGTCGTCTCGAACACGTCTCCATACTCGCTCATACATTATGTTAAGGACGTCGTGGCGGTGCTGGTGCAGCTATAGAGTCACAACTCAACAAACACTCCACGTTCACGCCGTGTTGCACATTTACAATCGTCGCAGGGGTCGTGGCGCTTTCGGCCTGCGTCTTGTTCTTCGGGCCTCCGTCTTATAGCACCGCGATACCTCCGTATGCGGTCCAACGCTGTGCCGTCTTGTCCAGCCCTACCAACTGGTTTTGAGACAGGTAGGTATAAGAACGCTAAGGCTACAGGTTGTACAGACGGGCTGCTTGTGAACGTCACTCGATTCGGCTTGAGTTCCTGTTGGCCGTCTTGTGTAATCGGACGCGCCGGCTTAACGTCGGCGTCTTCGTGCCTGGGCCCTTTCCGACAACGACGGCATATGCACGACGCGTAAGATTTGCATATGGAACAGAGTGACAACCCATTACATGTCCAGAAAAATGACTATATCAGTTACTTTTGTGTTGATGTTCAATAGAAGGATGTTGAAGACTGACTTAGCACACATGAAGTGTAGAGAAGTTGAAGCTACAAACACACAAACTGGAACAAACGTTGTCTTATAGAAGTAAAAAAAAAAAAAAAGAAAGCCTTCGCGTGTGCACGTGTAGACACCTGTCCACAAGCCTGCAATGTTTATACAAACGATATATATAGTTATATAATAAAACGAAATGTTTGGAAATACGCTTCATGTATAACAAATGTAGGAATATTTCTATCCGACTTCGTAATAATAAGGTTGATTATCAGAAGGTTAAAAAAAAGGTAGTTTCGACTACTACTAAATTATAGGATATTATAAAAATTACAATATTCTGCCAATGCAAACCTTTGACATTTTTACGAATACATTTTCAGGTTTAGTCCATTTCATCTGTACGAGACACAATTCTATCGTCTGATTGCGAGGCACAACCATTGGAAATACTGATATTCTACTGATAGTACGATTAGATATGATGAATTCCTGCACTCCGAAGTTTAGCAACGACATAAAGAAGGATTGCGATCGATTAAAAGAGAAACCCCTTATGAACACCCCCTGTAATTGGTGGATGCCTTTAAAGAATACCCGTATTGTTTTGACGTACAAGTGAACGCATAATACATGTCGTAGGTAAACCATTGAAGAGAATTCTCGAAATTTCGTTTGATTTACTCACACTTGCCATTATCTGTACACGCTGACATTTTCTCATTCAAATCCCTCCATCGCTTACGCCGAGTTCGAGACTCAAGTTCTCCTCTGCATTGTTATATATCGTCGCCGCTGCCTGCATTTAACCCGTACTATTGTTGTTGTCGTCTCTACTGCGGTAGCTATTGAAGTCGCTCGTCGGCATGCATGTCACGGACAGGGAATTTGCTCCTCGAAGCGTTCCTTAATCGAGTTATTCTCCGGACAGGCGTACGCACTATGTAGGACACACTTGCACGACCACACACTCACCTCTACACATGTTCGTATGACTCCCAAAGTGTGCCTTTAAGACGCCAACACGCCAACATTCTTGACGCCACAGGCCTTATAGTCGTATCGGCGACTCTTATCCGATGTCGACTGATGGCCGGCACGCGGGCCCCAGCACCAAACAGTTTTGCTGTCCTACGGTCTATTTCGGTTTGTGTCCTGCCGTTCTACTTGTCTGTTTGTGTGTGTGTGTTTTGTTCAACGCTAAGTTTCTCCTTTGCTTTTCTAAGGCACAACCTTCTAGCTCGTTGGCAAAGCCTACATCAACAAAACCTAGTAACATAGTGGTATTGGCTCCTCGTTTACTCCTTAGGCGGCTAACTGCGGCAGCTCCTTCTCGGTCATTGTTGCTTCTGTTCCCACAGACGCAGATGGGGGTACTACATCCAGCCCTTCGCGGACTGTTTCGTACTAGCAAACGTAGCAAAGGTATAAGATAACTAAGGAGCATCTGGCGGGGTTGCCTGAGTTGAAGCGCCAACTATACCTCGGTACTGACAGTTTAAGGCCGACGGTGCTGCTCTCACTGTCCAAGGCTAGCGGGAATAGAGCGAAAGCAAGGGAAAGCAAACCAAACCAAAACTAACCGAAGAGCGGCCGCTAATGGTACCCTCGTTCCGCCGAAGGGGGTGGGGGTACTACTGCTCCCCTTAGCCTCGAAACGTGGCCAAGTTTAATGGCAGTTTTATGGTGATAATCTCGTTTACACTTCACTGCCCCACGGCGGCCACTGTCTTCCACTGCCACCGTGTCAGGCAGTGTTAAGGCGGCAGTCGATAACGCCCAACACGGATAAAGGGGCATCAAAGCGACGCAGGGGTGGCAATAACAGAATTGCATAGGTTTCGTTGGGGACGTTCTCGCACTTCGTTGCTCCCCTGAGGTAATCCTCGTGCAGGCTCTCGTCGCCTCGCCACTTTCGTGGCCTATCCTTTTCATAGCCTTTCGTTGCGACGTTCCTCTCGACTCGCTTTTTCCACAATGTCCGTCAGTGTTGAAAGATCGACCAACGAGTAAGTTCGACCCTTAGCAACGTGTGTAAGCGGAATGAACGAAGAAAGGAAAGAACGCTTTACGCTTGCAGTATGTGAGAGGCACAACCTAGCCGGTTAGGTGAACGCCGCGCGAGAAACGATAACTGTTCACTCCCGAACTGGGCTCCACATTTTAGTTGCCCAGCTGCTCAGTTGGCGTCACCTTTTAGTCTAGGATGTTCAAGCGTTCCGACGGTGTTATCCTCTTAGCTTTTCTAACTAGCAGAACTAATAAGAACAATATCGAGACACGGCACATAGTCACCTTAAATGGAGGAAAAAGGGGTATCAAAGGAGACACGATCATGTGAACGGGACAAGGCAGTTACCCAAAGAAACCTGGAGGTTTCGTACACAGCCAAGTTTCTACCTCCCAACCTATTGAACGTCGTTCTTAATGCTCGTTGCCTGCGCATACAACAGCGTTACCAGTCCTTCGTCCTAGACCCTAATGACGGTTAGAACGTACACACACAAGAAACAAACGGAAACGGCGAGACATACATTCACTGAATTACCTAACCAAAGAGCGGTGGACTTACCTAAGTGTTCCCTTGACAGGAAAACAACAGCCTACGCCCCAAGGTCCCCAGCTTTAAGGCCCTGGGGTGCTTCCGCCATAGTGGCGTGTTACGCCAAGGGTTAGTAGGCCATAATAGTGATCGTCAGAAGGGGGGCTTGACATTTGCCCAATGTGTTTAAGGGGTGGTTAAGATGGGAATGAGTCGGACGAGTTGACTGGTCAAGATATTTAGGGGTCTGTTGTGGGCTTCAAGGAGTGATACAAGGAGAAAGCTTCTACATTTACTTTTATTACTTGGATAGAGCAGTAATGCAGGTTTTGCTCTTCGGTTCAGTGTGAGAAGGATTAGCAGTATGGTTTGCCTTTGCGAGAATAACAAACCATCGTTCTTGTTGTTTACAGAAGATGGCTTGACTGTACGCAGCGTAGAGGATGCGCATTTGGGGCGGTTATTAGGAAACCGATTGGTACTAATGTGAAATTACCATACAGAAAAAAAGCTGGCTGAAATATCACGTACTCGAAACGGGCTTCATCGTTTGTATGGGTACGCTTAGTTTTTGACTATGTTAAGATAGATTCTTTATAGCGACGGTACATATCCTATAAATACTACGGATTGGATATAACACAACGTCCATACGTTTAAGTATATAGGACTTAATCGATTCCATATGCGGTCTGTCCATGCTTCCGTCCAAAAGCAACCAGCAGACTGGTAAGTCAAAGACAGGACCCAACAAGTACATGCTAACGTATATACTCTTTGCTTCGAGCGGCTGGCCGCTCCAGCACAAAATAAAGTGTACCTACAACCAGTTTAGAGCCTAGATCATCTCATTTCCCCTTAGGTTTAATAGGCAAACATGTTGCCACTGTACCATTGCAGACACTGCATATATTCTTTACAAAGGTAGTTATCTAATTCAATTCACAATTGTTGCGTTAGGTTAAGTTATTTGGCTATTAATTCCCCGCCACCTTCAACAGTATTTGTCAAAAACAATACGCGTTATGAAACAATCAGCCAGGGTGCTAGGCGGCTGGTAATATTATGGCTATGTTACTTTGGAAGGCACATTAGCTGCTAGAATCATTTCTGCTTGGTCGGACTGTGACCTTTGTGGCTCTTCTAAACATTCGGTGATCACAAATGATGCTTTCCCATTGCAATATCGACCCAGCGACTTATCAAGGGACGACATAAAAGTCTTCACTATAGTTGCTGTCCTGTCTTCATGGCAAGGTTGTACGAGGTAAATCTTTAAATCGCTTGTATCGTTGCAGCTCTGATGAACGCGAAATTTTCGGAGCAATTATAGGCTTACGAACTCTAATAGAAAGATGAATAATGTTTTTATACGTTTTTTAAATGAAAACAGTCTTTTATGTATAAGTCTCTACTTATTTTCGAACTTCAAGCTTTATATGTCTTCAAAATTACTTACGTTAACGTTGATTTATCTGGCCTGCATTCAACCTGATCTTAGGGTATAACTTTAACTTGCACGCCCAATTTGCCGTAGGATTTTAATTTGTGTGTACTTACAGTAAATATATCTATGCGTTTGCTTCTTGAAGGACAATTATTTATGACGAATATATTGAAAATTAAGGCCGCTTTTTATTCAGTTTGCTAAGCTTTTAAAGAGGCAAAGTCGTTTCAAAGATTATCTTTAATTCAATGTATTATTTACAAGTAGCATATTAGACAGCGTGTACAGCATAAGATCACAAAGTGACAATCGATCTGGTCGATCTACGTTCTCCTTGAAACAAGTGTTACTTCTACTTCATCCTTTAATCGTCTATAAGGGTCTTCTCTCAACTAAGATTAAATCGTGCATATTTCTTCTTCGTCGCATGCGCATTTTGCCAGCTACCGTTCGGTAACACTCCTGCATCCACGATTAGACCAGTTTTTGGTTGTATGCCTATGTATGTAGTATCTATAATGTAAAAAGTATGATCTGACCAATCTAGCCACTAGAAGATCATTAGAATTCGTGTTGCTCGAATCGTCCGCCAGGCGATCGCCATCGGCGATCTATGATACGGACCCGCATATTGCGCACGTATTCGAAGACTGCTGATACCTTGCATTTAGGCAGTACGTCAATATTGTCACGATGAAGAGTCAGTAGACAAACTGAAATACTGCGACATGTTCAACCGATATTCGAAGATGGTCAAAAGTCAGTGGTGGCAAATATACATCGCGTTCAGTTCAGTTCAAGATCTTCACAGATTGATGAAGATGATGACCTGAAAGAAATACAACATGTTTTCACGAGACGGACCTAGCGGCAGAGCTCATTTATGCGGGAAATCAAGAGATGATGACTTTCGACATAGTTTAATTGCTCAAATCATAGTTCACGCTTTGGGTCACTATGCATCATAGAGAAAAGGCGAAAATCAGATTGATCCGCCCCTCCATAGAAGTATCATGAAGCCTTCATGTAAGACCTCTACAATATATATACATATA